TCTGCCCTCACCTGTTTTCAATCCCCTCGTTAGCCCTCTCTTTGTCTCTGTCCCCTTTAAAAGCCTCCCTCTTCAGTTCCTGTTTGCAGGATCCTCGTCTAACATCTGTCTGCATACCTCGTCTCTCCCTGGTTCCTAGAGTTTGGTTTTCCCCTGATGTCTCCCTGGTTCTGGGTCGTCTGTTATTTCTGTTGGATTTTTGATTCCTGCCTCAGTTCTTGTAAACCTCATTAAACCCACCTAAATTCACCTCTGCCTACTTGCCTCTGCATTTGGGTCCTCCAAACCAACACCAAATCCTGACAAAACCAACCGGAGGGGTTTCAGAGAGGACTGGTTGAGGTTAATGTAAAGGTATTTGCAGTAGTCAATTTATTTGGTTTATAATAAAAGCAGGAATAGCTGTCTCAAGGCTTTATTTTGGGAGAAACAGTTTTTTTTACCAGCTGCCTAAAATGATAAAAAAAACAATGAACTGCTCCAACCTGGGAATCAAATTCATAATAACTGTCCATTTTAAAACTTAAATTAAAAACTGTTTGCTTTCTATGAGATCCCAAGGAGCTCAAATCACCAGGAAGATAACTATTAACTATTATGACTAAACAAGATCCCCTCTTTCTTTTTATAATTGAAATTCAAGGTACTAAAGTCTTTTATATCTTTAACACAAAAAAACATGGGTTTATTAAGAGGATTGTCTTATTTTATTGACTTTTATATCTAACTGCCATCAGCATAACAACAAAAAAGGATATTGTGCTTTCTTATGTAAGGGACCTAGAACAGCTTCCTGTGGAACCCCATAAATTAGAGGAGAATTCAGAATGTGCCAACTTAACAATGGTTAAATAAAATTTTTGATATTTCAATGCAGTACCACGTATACCGACTAGGTGCTGCAAACAGTGTAAAAAAAAAAAAAAAAAACATAATTTACAGGACGGCCAAACAAGAACAGCATATTTAGCTGAATCATTTGCCAAAAATGTTTTATAAAAACTCTGGCTTGGGCAGATTCTGTGCTGTGGTGTTATAAGATATTATATGTAGAAAAATATTGTTTTCCTGAATTCTAATGCATTGTTCAACCTATTTTCTAATATTTCATCTGCTGATAATGTTGTTTGAGGTTTCATCACAGTCAGTTTACTTATTTGCAGCATATATTTAAATGCATAATTTTATGATTCAGCCAGTAATTTATAAGACATTAATTCTTATCACCTTTATTTTTGGGGTGAGACACTAGATTGTTAACCTAAAAAAAGATCTAAATAATTTATGTAAAATCCATGAATGTTAGAAATTGTAGCAGCTACTCTTATATAGTAGCAGCAAAAAATACACATGATTTAAATTACTTTGGATAGAATGGGATAATGGGGGCAATGAGTGTTCAGGAATAAAAACCATCATCAGCTATGGTTTCTAGTAAAAGTGACTGACACAAAAAGCCAGCTGTGAGAACACTTTGTTCATGTAAAAAAGCTTTTTTTGAATTCTTTTTGAAAGCTATCAATGTTTTCTTTTTTTATAAACGGAGGATAACTTACAATATAATGGCTTTATTTCATTGAAAAATATAAGAGCATGATTGAGAATACACTTGGTCATGTTTATTCAAAAGATATTTTCAAATGTCATATTTATCTATTCTGTCTTGAAGATTTTGGGGGAGGTTACAAGAACAGAGGGATAATTCTTCTCTATGTGAACATCTGGTCTGGGGGAAAAGATTAATTCACTTTGTTGTATGTGAATAGTAGGAAAGCTATGCAGTAAGAATTGACGGGTGCATTTAGCCAAGGTGAAATATATAAGAAAAACAAGTTCACATCCTGCAGTCTTTTTGGACTACTAAAATATATTCTGTACTTACTTAAAATCTAAATTACATAAAGGTTTTGAATTCTCATGGTTATTACCTGGATGGTAGAGTAAAGAGATTGTCCATACATCTTCTTGAAGTTTGCTCTGATGTCCAACATATCCACCTCACTCCTTGACACCATTATTCTCATCAGGGTGCCATCATCAGTTCCAGCTCGCTTCATATAGAATATAACCAAAAGAGATAGGCAATATTAAGATAGGTACATTTATTTAAAATGTATTTATGTTTATTTGGTTTAGTAGATTAGATGCAATACTTAAAGAAAAACAGTCCTTTTTCGAAATTTGTTATACATCATTTACTATTTTTCTTTTCCTTAAAGGAATAAGGTAATAAGGCTGTTTCTGATCTTAACAAACTTGAATTAAGCAATTCCCACTTTTATTGAAACACAAATAAAAATGTCATGCCATACCCAAGCCTCTTTGTGCATAACACTTCCTATTAAATGGGAGAAATACCCCATGACTCCAAACTGCACAGAGTAAGTGCAGGGAGACTTGAGAAAGATGTCGATTCCTCATCTTTCTGTTAAAATATAACGTGTTCTTGATTAGTATTTAAATGATTTGTATAATTAATTCTCTCCTAATCAGACTGTTGTTGTAAATTCTTAGACACATTAGGATCCAACCCTTGATTTGTCGAAGGTTTGACAGCAACAGTCTGATTAAGAAATTAATAAAGCAACCAACGTTCAAATACATAGCATCCAATGAGATTGAGACAGCCAGGTCAAGAATAATTCAAAAGATTAAAAGAAAGTAAAACAACCTGGATATAAAATGTATGGATGTCAAGGAAAATATAAGACTTTGCACATCCCTGGATGCTTGAAACTATTTGCAAATGTTCTGTCTTGTGGATAAAAATGTGTCTATTCCAGAATGATCCATAACTAATATCTGTGAATAATGCATGTATTATGTTACGCTCCCTTTGAAAATGAGATGTTTTTGTATAAATAAAGGTTTATATATAAAACTAGAGCTAATAAAATACACTTCTAGACTGTCTTGTGGAGAGTTGAAATGAAGGTTGACCAGCAATGAGAAGGAAAAAAAAAACATTTTTACTGTTTGATTTGCAACTGGTCCTTCAGTTTGCAGTCAGAAAATAGGGAGCAAGTGGGAGTTATATTTTGTTGTTTCTGTGTGTAACAGCGGTACCTACCCTCATTGATTTATAGAGACTCTCAGCAAAAAAGCCAGGGACATTTCTGATACATTTTACTGCAGAATAAATATGACAAAGAGACAGAATTTTAAAAAGAATCAGGATAAAATTTTGTTAAAGTGTCAAGATGATTATGTTGCTTAAATATGTAAAATCAAGAGGGAATGTTTATTTTTGTTAATGCATCTAAACCGACAGAAATAGCGCATGTTACCAACGGCGAGAAGTAAGTCCTCCAGATTCCCTGTGGTCTCTCCTTTAATGCTGTCCTCAATGTCAGAGCCAGAGAGCTTCTTGTACTCATCAAACACTAGTAAAAGACACACTGTCAGTTTAATGTTGCTGCTGAAACATTCAAAATCAGTGAAGCAGTGAAGTCGTTTTAAATCTACTTGTATATATATTTTTTTGTGATTTTCATTAATTTCACATTTTATATGCGTCTCTGCTTCCACACCTGAATCAAATGGCTGCATCACCTCCTCTGCATGCAGTCACATCCTACAGAGCCCTGCTAATTACCTCATTATTTGACTCAGGTGTGTTGATGCTGAGACACATCTAAAATGAGCAGAACACCGAACCTCCAAGGCAATTTATTTGTATAGTACAATACAATTCAAAATGCTTTACATAAATTAAATAATAAAAGGGAATGAAAATAAAAGCAGAATAAAGGCAAGCAATGATAAAAAAAAAAAAAAAAAAACATTTTAAGGATAAAAACATTTTAGAAACAGGTAATAAAGTAAAAAAAAAAAATCAGTTGGATCACAACCTTAGACTACCTTAAACTTTTTTTAGTGCGTCTGCAGTTAAAAAAAATATCTGCCCCAGTGGAGAGCATGTGAGGTTGAGAATGTTGTTTATCTCGCATTATTACACTTGCTTAATCTATGTGCTATTGCTGACTTCTGGATACTTCAAACTAATCTACAGTTTTTTTTGTTTTTTTTTTTTCTGTCAAATTCTAATGCTGTGATCAATTGGTAAATGGCCTGTACACCAAGTGCTTTTCTCAAGTCAGGAGCCTTGACCAAAACGCTTTACTCTACATTCAGTCATTCACCCATTGATGCAAACACTGATGGTGGCAAACTACATTGTAGCCACAGCTGCCCTGGGGCTCACTGACAATAGCGGGCTGCAGTACACCGGCACCACTGGGCCCCCTGACCACCATCAACAGGCAGCGCAGGTGAAGTGTCTTACCCAAAGACACAACGACACTGAAAGCCAGAGCTGATGCAGGGCAACCTCCTGCATCCGACGCCACTGTCGCCTACAACATCCCATCAAAGCTAACACTCACCTTTCAGGAGATGCTCTGAGCTCCTGTTGCCAAGAATTGTGATGAATTTTTCCTCATCTGTGCCAAACTTGCCCTCGCCAGCAGCATACAGGTCCTGTAATGGCAGAACACACTCATGTTTTCACACATAGGCAGCCACCTGGCAGAGCCGGTGTGACAGCACTAATAACGGGCTTTGCATTGATGTAAAACACCTGATAATATAAGTATTTCAGTGTCTTCTCTGCTGTTACAAACTCTTAGCCGTAGGTTCATTTCTCTGCAGCATAATGCTAGGTTTACTATCTTCATCTCATCTCAAGTCACATTTTATAATATAGAAAGGAGGATATACTAAGATCATATAATGAACACAATGAATCTTCTAGTGTTCTTGTTAGGTTGCATGGTTTGGTTAGAAAAAGTATGTGTTTTTGCAGATACATTGTGAAAAGGTTTTATACGTTAGATCCCAATTCACAGCTCAATATCAAAACTGAAAAATTACTTTTAAACAAGATGTTCTCTCAGTGAAAGTTAATCATATGTCACTTCAACAGTGGCAGCTCAATATATGAATCCTGCTGAAGTAAATCTTGGCCTTTAGCCTCTCTACACCTCAGAGAACAACATGTTGACAAAGAGGATTATGGAATTTAAATTAATCTCTAATTTGGTATGCTGGCCATTGAACTGCTGCTTAGTAAATGCCTCTGCTTTCTCTCCTTTTCAAAGTTGTTTATGCTGCCTGTTTACAGATGTCAAAACTGTCACTAAATAATGCTGAGATGTTTCTGAATTTCCCAGTAGGTCAGAGGAGTCTGCTATTGAAACTTGTGTTGTCATAGGGCTTAATAACTTTCTGTTATCTGAGTAGTTAGGTGGGAATGTCGTACAAAGTCAAACTATATTGAATTATTATGCAGCTGATTGTGTTCACAACTAATCTTCTTTAAAAATGCAAGAACAGGTGCAGTTATGGAATATGATGTCTACCCTGCATCACCAGAATCAGAACTAAACAGGGAGAAGTAGCATTCAGTTTTCATGCTTAAATTATCTGAAACAAAAACATTTTTATACATGTTTTTTGCTGCTGTGGAGGAAGTTTGCCACCTAGGTTTTTTGTTTTCAGTTTATTGATGTCTGCACACAGGCTTGCTTATTTGCATTTCTTGTATCATGCTGCAACTTCAGGTTAAACAGATTGAGATCTGGTGTTTATTGGCTAATTGCAAGACTAATTATTGTCTTATTTAACTTTTCTGTTAAATTTGGCGTTGTCTTTGGCCCTCTAACACTTTGTCCAGTTTATGTCCTGGTTTGGGTCAAAGTTCTGTGGTCTGACAGATGGTCCTGCAGTTTAATGAAGAATTAATTATGTACAGATGGTTCTGTAATCAAGTCAATGACTGCAGGGCGCTCAGGTCCAGTGGATGCAGAACAAGCCTAAAGCATCATCCCTCCACCATTCTTCTTGATAACTGATATTATGTTTTTGCTGATGAGCTGTTTGTACCAGAAATCTTTTGGTTTATTTAGATGCAACTTTTTACACCTAAGACCCTCTAGTTTTATAGTTTTCCTCAGTAGGTCATGTTCATTCTTTCCCAAATTCTCCTGCCAGAATCCTTAAAATTCAATTGCTAGCTGAGGCCTGTGAAATGGAGCTCTTGGTTTTGCAGCACTTTCTTTAAGCATCGTATAACCTGAGCAAAGAGCTTAGTGTTGATTTGCTGAAACATTTGTCTCTGGGAAGACTGGCACTAAAAAGTTTTGCACTCATCAAAAGCCTGCAAAACTGATGTGTTATGGAAACATTAAAACACACAAGCACTAAAAAACAAAAGGAAAAGAAAAACGCTGAAAAAAAAATGCTGCTTGCAAGCATTTTTTTGTTGCAAGCACGTTGCAAAAAAAAAAATTTGCTTCTCTAAAAGTTGAATTTTTTACATTAAACTGCAAAATTTCTGCCTTTGTAGAGGCAATTAGCCTGATGAATAGATCCTTAAATATCTCATTCACATTTTTTTTTTATTGTAATGTACATGTTGTTTTGGTCTTGTGTTTTAGATAATGCAAATGAAAACATTTTGTACATAAAAATGTTTTGAAAGCTTTATTTGTCTTTTATAATGAACAGAAAAATCAATAATCAAAAAATACCTAGGTTTTTAGAATATTTTCGGCATTGATTTGCATGTTCTCCTTGAGCATGCGTGGGTTTTCTCCGGGTGCTCCAGCTTCCTCCCACAGTCAAAAAACATGACTGTTAGGTTAATCGGCTTCCCTAAATTTCCCCTTAGGTGTGAGTGCATGCTTGAAAGGTTGTTTGTCATGTTTGTCTCTGTGTTGCCCTGTGATGGACTGGCAACCTGTCCAGGGTGTACCCCGCTTCACGCCCGTAGACAGCTGGAGATATGCACAGCACACCTCGCGACACCACTCGGGATAAAGCGTGTCAGAAAATGGATGGATGGATGATATTGTTTGGATTTTTTTTTTTTTACCTTGGCGTCTTTTTCAATTTTGTCCTCTTCTACTCCCTCCTCCCGGCTCCCCTTTGCACATAAACAAAGGTGGAAAAAGGGACAGGCAGGTGCAGAAGCAGATAGGCACAGTGACAAACAGAAGGGAAAAGTAGGTTAGCGTGGATAAGCTTAGAGTGACGTTTGAACTTTAGTAACCCAGAAAGACTAAATTATTCTGAGAGGGCCTCAGAACCATGGAATTACTTTACTGTCACTGGTTAAAAAAACACATATACACAGACAGCGAGTCACCTCTCAACTTCATACTTAACGCTTTCATGACTGTAATGAAATCAGCAGGGACACTCATTATAATGACAGGAAAGTCCTCCAAGCAATTTCCGCTTTCTACCTGCAGCAGGATCACCAGGAGTCTACCGTAGCTCCCTCCAGTGTCACTGCTGATATCCTTCTCCAGTTTGTTTCCAAACTCTGGAAGAAAAATAAGAAAATGAACCAAACAAGGCTAAGACTCATAGCTCCATATCTTTGCTTATGGAGGCAGTTAATAGTGAACTGTTCTCCAATCTGCAGGACAGCTAAAAGGAGAATGATTGGATTAATTGATTAGCAGTAATTAGGATCAGAGCCAACTCTGATTTTAGGCATCATAATTGTATCTCCTTTCACGTGTTTATTCTAATAGGACTGTAGTAAAGATGTAAAAGAAAAAAGATGATGCAAGACATTAAAATCTGAGGTTTTACTGTGCAAGAGGAGAAAGCCTTCTTTAACTAAACGCAGTCACACTTGAAATCCTATTAAACTCCAACCTACTTGAACCTACCTAAATGTCATCTAAAGTTGATAAAAACATTTTTTTAATCAAATTAAAAAACTGTTTACCAGTCTATCATGGAGGTTCTCAAATATCCTAATTTTCTGAAGGTTTGATATATCACATGACTGCAGTCACACTCATTTTTCTCTGCTCTGGTCTGCCTCATTACTTCACCTTTTTTGTAGACTTTGATGATTTCCTTAATCTGTTCACCAGTCCTGGAAGCCAAGATCTCAATCAGAACTTCATCGTCAGTCCCTGCACCCTGGGAACCAAACAGAGTGATTATGTGCTGGAGCTCAGTATATAACAAGACAGATGTGCTACAGACAACTCAATTGCATTTTCTAACAGCCTTTAGAGGGTTGTAAAGAGGGTAAATGTCTGATCAGAAAATTAAACCAGTTTCATCTATAGTTTTTTTATGTAAAAAAAATAAACAAAAAAAAGCTTTAACATTTATGTTGTATATAAAAAGAGATTAGGATGTGGCTGTGAAAAAAAACGAGCTCAACCTCTGACCCTGAATAGTTGTGAGGCAGCTAGAGGGAGAAATAAAAAAGCAGTCAGGGCATAAACATGACACCTTATGATGGATGAATTTCATTGTCTAAAACTAGTGCCATATCAAACCTCAAACCTTTAATCATTTGCAAATCTAAATATACCAAAGAAATGAATGTTGCTTCAATGAAAAAATAGGACTTACCCAAATGTGTCAGCAGAATGTTTGGGTTTTTTTGTCTTTTTTTGTAAATCATGTTTTCCATCTTGTGACCGGGCCATTGCCCTTTCAGAAGTAAATAATAATGGCATACTGTTTATTTCCGATGGTAGATTATTATTATAATCATAAGAAATAATCTAAAGATTTAGCTTTTGTGTAGTATGTAGTGTTTTGTTTTTATGATTGTTAATCCTTTATGATTTTGCTGCAATTTAATTCATCATGCTCAGATGGACATAAATGTGTAAAGTTACTCATTTAATGTGTTGGGCTGGACTTCCTTTTATGGAAGAGATATGTTTGACTTAGACTTAAACAAACTTTTTTTCATTTTGTATACACCAAGTGTATACAAAACAAAATTTCATTGGTTAAGCTTATAACAGTGAAATAAGCAGCTTACTGAACAACAGCGAAATGAACATTACTATTGCGAAATAAATACTGTGCAAAGGTCAGTATAACATTAAGTTGTGTCCAGTTGTCCAAAATAATGTTGTGAGTGTGATGCAGAGTCCAGTTTAGAGTTTAACAGTTCAACAGGCTGATGGCAGCAGGAAAAAAGCTGTTCCAGAACCTGCTGGCCAGCAGCGGATTCTGCAAAGCCTCTTTCAAGAGGGCAGCAGGGAGAACAGTCTTAATGTCTGTACAGATAACAGTTGTGAAGTCTTGGGCTAACATTTCTTGTCAAATAGCACTATTTAAACAAAATTAACTGAATTAAAGGGCATTGAATTCAATTTGATACGATCATAGGAACATCTGAATTACGCTCATTTTGATGTTGTGTTTATGAGTGATCAGTCTCCAACTTTATTGTAACATAAACCAATAATTACTACAGTGGCGGATATGAAACAGGTATATAGTTATTTGAATTCTAAAATTCTGTTTTTTGTTAGTTTTTGGTTTATACATTATTTAAGAAAATAGCATTATACTTACAGAGTAAGTTGATTGCTGTTGTGGTGTTTGTATTTAGAACTTTCAAAGATTAAAAAAGGAAATTTGCTACCCTTAACTGAAAAAGCGTAATGTTGACACACAACATTTAGCAAATGGTGGCAATAATAAACATTTTTTTTTATTCAAAATAAAAACAGATCTATTTTTGCATAAAGAGCTCTCAGATTTCAGTCTGCAACATGGTAACTTCAAGTTTCATTGAAGAGATTATATTGTTTAATAGGATATGTAAATTAATACCATATTAATAAAGCAAAAGCTATAAATGTCCAAAGCTATAAATGTATAAATGTCCAATTAGTTTTTATTGATGACATTATATCTGTGGAGATTTCCACTGGTGTTTAGAGCTTTGCATGATTCTGGATGGTTGAGAATAAATTTTAAAGGGTTAAGATTCCTGAACTGGCCGGCATGTTTGTAGCAATTATTTTCATATTCTTAACAGGCTAACATTCCTAAATTTTTGAGAACATTAACTACATTCTGGAAGTCTTGTCATCTTACATATCTTGGCATTTTTATTTACCACCAAACAGTATTTTGCTTAGTTCTTTGTTTCCTTAATGCATTTCAAAGAATTTATTCTTGTATACTTCCTTAGAAAAAGGTCAGGACATTTTCTCACCATTTTCAGAGAAACTCTTTTACCTATTAAAGTATCTCATTTCTGACTTTCGACCTACTCAATCATAAGGAAAGGATTAATTAGTTTAAATAACCTTGTGTCTACATAAATCAGACAACTTATCAAACAGACCATTTTAAACAGATTCTTTGGGAATTGTGTTACACAACATATTACGAAAACCCATAGTTGATCAAGATAACACATAGTGACACAATAAAGATTTGGACACAAAATAGGTGATTCAGAAAGTGGTGAAAATCTGGTAATTCCCCCATTTTATACTTTATAACAATGGAGAACTTTTGATCAGAACCACTAAATAATAAGAACATTTTCTTTCTTTGAGAGCAAAGAGTAAATCAGAAATGTGAAAAGGCTGTTTCACTTTTTATCATCTAAAAAGTATCATTACTGGTCAGCTGGATTGTAAAGACAGCAAATGCTAAACTATTCTGGAATTTCAACCTTTAGGGAAGGTTGCTATACACTTTCCATCTCTTGGCTTTTCCCCTCAGAATTATAGCTCATGTTTAAACATTTATGAACTAAATTACTGCAGCAGCACATCTGCAACAGTATTTCTTCTGTGGGAGAGAGAGCAGCTGCAGCCAGACTACCGGTGAAGATGGAGATGTGAACCAATTTTCCCATTTATTAGTCAATGCATTATGAATGAGGTAAAGGTTTAGTTTGAAATCAAATTCCTTTTTAGAAAGAAAAGTTTTTTTATGAAGGAAAATAGCTGTACTATATTATAATTTTAATAAACACAGCATAGTTCTTTTCAAGATTTTATCAAAACTAAGGGTGGAACTACGCTGAAAAGGTTTAAACCCACATGGTCTGTGAAACAGATTTGCAGATGAAATAAGGACAAACTGAAGCATTTTTGAAAAAGTATTGTAAGTTACCTTTATAGCCTTGTGCAGCAGAGTTGCGTCATATAAGACTGGAGGCATCATCAATGCCACAATCAAGTCCTCAAACAGTCCTCCAATCTCAGATTTCAGGGCACTGACTAAGTCCTGCCGCCAAGGGATGAATAATAGCAAGAGGAATGGAATCATTAATAAATGTATTTGTATAGAAACATGCTCTCATAGTGTATTACTCACACTGACAGAATGATTGATACTGGTTGAAATAATCAGGTTAGCAGTCTAGACATAACTTGAAAAAAAGAGTACCCAGGTAATAAGTCCCCAATATGTGGAAAGACAGTAACATACATTTATCTCATCGCTAATATCAATATAAATATATATACATTTATATATATATATATATATATGCACATTTTTGTGTGGAAATAACAAGCTCAGTTTACTTAGAAATTTCGATAATTTTAAGAGCAAGACAGAAAGAAAGCAGAAGGAGATCATGACGAACGCCTTAAAACTTTAAAACCCTGCAAATGCATCAGTAAAACAAAAGAAGACTAGACAGCTTTAACTTTGTTTAAAGTCATACAATAAAAAAGAAGTTTTCAAACTAGATGTTAGACCTAGTTTCTAGATCATTTTAGAGAGAAGTTGAACTTTGAGGTTGAAAGAAGCTTCAATATCTGTTCTTTATGATGGTAATTACTGAAACAGCAATTTAGTCTGTTATATGTTATATAAAAGTTAAACAAGCCTCTGGCCAATAAGCTGAAAGATCGAGTTCCTTAGCAAAAAAAAAGAAAACAGCAAGAAATTATACATAAGAGACCCTGTCTTTTTTGTTAGCTGCCAGTTGTCATATTTTACATTTCTTAGAAGTGAAAAAAAATCCAAACTTATAGGAATTTTATTTTACTCTTCAAATTTTAATCATTTTTTTTCCCGAAGTGAACAGTTTATGGCATTTTTTTTATATCACACCAATTAAGGTGCTCAGCCTCGTCTTGATACAGTGCTGTAATAACCAACGATATTACAAAGAGTACTTTGCTATTTTCTCATGTATATTTTTTACTCTGCTCTGTTTTATCAATTTGTACTCGAGGCAGATATTATGTTTCCTAGAAAACCAATAATAACTTTCACAGGTGGTCATAAAACAAGTTGACAGTAAGATGGAACAAGAGGTATTAAAGCAGGATGTCCATGCTCCTTCATAATAAGCTGCACAGCTCTTTGTTCCATGGAGATTGCATTCCCTAAATGTGTTTTTACTCCAAAGTAATGGTCAGCAGGGCTTCAAACTTTCCTTCTAGACATCGGCAGGAGAATGATACTAGACAAAAATATTATTGGGGATATTATTTATTAATTAACCTTAGAGGGATTAACCTTAAATGTTTTCTGGGCTTTGGTTCTAAACATTAGATAAAGCGTGTTTTTTTGTTTCGTTTTAATTTATAATCTTCCTATTACGTGTTTTTATTTTCTTTACTATCAACACAATGGCAACACAAAGTGCACCAGTGTGGCTTTGAGCTCTAAAGCTGCTCAATGCTGTGTGCAGCTGGCTTTTTTTAAAGCCAATTGCACACAATTGCTCCAGGCAGCATGTGTCTCCATTTAATTTACATGGACAGAGTAGTTTATGCGAAATAAAAAAAAATAATAAAGAACCATGCACAAGTCAGGTTCATGCAGAGGTCTTTGAGTAAAACATTATCCCTATTTATTGGTTAGTGACAGCCAGTAGGCTGCAGTTTTCCATTTCATTTTCCATAACTCACCTTCCCATAGGCTTTTTTATAAGCTGCTTTTATCTGCTGGCGTTGATCATTGTTGCGGGCAGTCAGAACCATGAAAATGACATCTTCATCTGTACCTGTATCATAGTTTAAGAAATCAAATTTATTGGAAAATAATCACTGTATTTCTAAGGCAGGGTAAAATATACAGATGTCATCTAACTATGAAACATTGCACCAAAAATGCAAACTTTTTTGCACCCATTTTGGCAAGTGTGGCTAATTATTATTAGTTTTCTAACTTAATGTTTTGCTAAATTTTTATACGAAAAGGGTTTATGTGCTCAAATCTTAGAGGTAGTTGATAGAACTATTTCAATTTGAATAGTGACAGAGCTATCATTCTGAGCCAGAGGATTGATGGCTTTGGAGGAACAATTATCTACCCCAATTAAACTTAGACTCTTACCAATCAGTAAAAGGTTCCCATTCTAAGGCTTTACAGATATGATTATAATACAAATAATTAACCTTACACTATTACTTCATTACTTATTCAACAAAAGCCATTCAAGCAATCAGGTAGCTAATGCCATTTTTTACTCAGCCTCCTAATAAAACCACTGTAACAGCCGCTCATCAAATGCACTTGATTAAAGGCAAATATCATCATATTTTTGCATAAATATTAATATAATAAAACATAAATAAATCATAATCTCCCTTTGCATTGTTTTCCAAAACAGCTGACTAATTTAAAAAAAACACGCTCTGACAACAAAGACCTTTGTAGGACATAGGCTTTTTATCTTCATAAGACATTATTAAGTAAAATATAACAAACAGGTGAATTGCTGTTTAACATCACAAAGGGGCAGCAAGCAAATATAATTCACACAGAAAAGCGGGGTAAGGTCCATAGAAGGACAGATTTGTCAAGAGGGAAAAAAATAGATGCTCTTTTTTAGAAAAAGATTAGTGCCAGAGGTTCATCAACCAGAGGCATATTTCATGCCAAAACTATAGAGTAAATAGCCAAACCACAGACGCACCTGTACACGTTGTTTCTGATAAAGTTTATAGGATGAAAAAAATAAACTCTCACAGTAATTTAAAGTTTCATATTAACTTTGTCAGAACAAAACATCTACTGATGTACAAGTATTCTGCTGAATATACTATCAGTATTCAGCATTAGCTAAAATAATTTCTACACCTGAGCCAAATGAATGAACAAATGAATCTTTAACTGCAGCCTGATTATATCTCAGTAGAAGGAGAGGTCATTTTTGAAACAGTGATACAGGAATAAAATGTGTCCAAGCTCCCGATGTTTAGTTGTTTGATGTATAAACCCACACTTTTTATTAAACTGTCTCACAGTTTCATTGAGGCTACAAAATTGGCTGAATGGACTGGGTTGGAGTGGTATCTTCAGTAATTTATAAGGGGTGGGGTGTTAAGTACCTTATTTGTGTTGAACGAGACCACACCATTAAAAAAAAAAGCTTGTGGAACAACAATATGATCAATTCAGATCAAAGCATTGCCGTTGTACTTAATATAGACTTCAGCTGAATGATTTAAATGCAAAACGGCAGAATTAAAAACAATGATATGACCCCAACAGCCTGCCTCTGGGCTGTTCAGCTGTTGTTGGGCTGGCTGGCTGACTGCTGTTCTCTACTCTGCTCTGTTATGTGTAATTAGAGAGCAGATGCACCTCTCTCTGTTAATCATCATCATTTCTCTAAGTTTTTACTCTGCTTATTGATACCTTCTCTCTCAATCATTCTCTGCCAGGTTGTCTCCTTGCTTATATGAGTTCCACTCCAGTGGTTATATATAGCCAGCCCAAATTGATTCTCTTTGGCTTCTAACTCTGGTCATGACAAAGACTGCCTGTGCCTTCATTAATCTGTTCAGCCTGTTCAGTAACCAGTCTATTCAGTCGTTACCCACCTTTCTATTCTGCCTGCATACAGCCTGCCACCAGGCTGTTCAGTCATCATCCATCCACCCATGGCACTACACACCGCACCACTGTGCAGCCCTTTTCAGTCGTTAAACCTGCCACTAAGGCAGTTCAGTCGTCATCTCCCTGCTTGAAACCTGCCACCAGTCTGTTCAGTTCTCCCTGCTTAAAGCCTGCCACCAGTCTGTTCAGTTCTTCCTGGTTAAAGCCTGCCACCAGTCTGTTCAGTTCTTCCTGGTTAAAGCCTGCCACCAGTCTGTTCAGTTCTTCCTGCTTAAAGCCTGCCACCAGTCTGTTCAGTTCTTCCTGCTTAAAGCCTGCCACCAGTCTGTTCAGTTCTTCCTGCTTAA